AAAAAATAAATTATACTAGAAACCTCTGTATGAAGATGGCATTACAAGATCCAGCAATTAATTGACATTACTGGTAAAAAAATCTGATAAAAACAGCTTGATAATAACAATAATTAAAAAAAAAGATCAGACATGAGGAGTAAGGAACATTTCCAAGGCACTGAACAGCATCCTCACCATCAGTGAAGATGCTCCTCTTCAGTAAAATCTCGTAAATATAAATAGTTCCTGCAGAAAAACTGCTGCGGCTTCAGTAGTTTGTCTTCAGGAGGGTGTTAAAAACAAAGCGAYGACGTCCCCAGATCGGCAAAGTCGGAGTCAAAGTAAGATGTAGGATTAAAAAAACAAAAATAAAAAAACATAAAAAGATTTACAGCAGCTTGGCAGCATTTCATCCAGGAAGGAGAGCTTTCAGTTTTGATAAAGAACCCATATGAACCCAGCAGAGTTTATTTTCACCTTGATATTAACATTTGTTTGCATGTTGATCAGTGTCAAAAATAAATCCCATTGCAGCAAAACGCAATAAAACATGAAAAACGTTGTGCAGACTGAATCCTCTTGTTTTTTTGTCAGTTTTTTTTTGTAGGCATTGTGTCGRTACATGTGTTAAAAGCTGAGCTGTGACTGCTGAGGTTAGAAAGCAACAACAGAAAAACCTGAAAACGAACAAAAACATGATGGAATGAAGGAAGATTTGTAGGTTTTCCATACCGAATCTTCCCAAGTATCGATCTAGTAGTACAGAAAAAATAATAATAATAACAACAGCGGGCTATTAAGGATATAATATATATAGATATGTATATATATTACAAAACAATACAACAATATAAATCCCTGTAAAAAGCAATAAATGTTCACATTAGATGTTGTAACATATTTTTAACCAGAAAAAAATTATAAAAAAAAAGCAGTAAGTACATTTTACAAGACAGCAGTGAGATATCGGGACGATAACGAAGAAGCAGCCGTGAGTCTCTTCATGTGGGAGAAAAATACATGCTGGCCTGTGTTACGATGTGAACAAGTGTTTCATGACTTCATTGTAAGTGGATCGCCTTCCAACTCATCCTGGTCTTCTCCAAGCGCTCCAAGATTCCAGCCCCTCCTCCCCCGAAGCCCCACCCCYCTGCACAGACACCCCCCGGCCTCAGTTTCACTGTGGCGCCGGAATTTCAACAGTGAAAAAGAAAAAAAATCTCACTGGGTAAATAGGCAGTAACACTGATATTATAGTGCAAAGTGGACAGAGCTGCTTTTCCTCATGTCAACTTAAACAGGTGCAAACGCTCAGCAGGAGAACATCGAAAGACGAGGAAAAAGAAAAAAAAAGGAGGAACAAATACAAATAAAAAGGACAAAAACATAAATATCAAAAAACCTTTCATCAGTATAAAAAAGTAATAAGGTTATTCGTTTAATCAATAGTCTGGCAAAAAGGCCTCAGAAAAGTTCTTGGATGTTTTTTTTTTGTTTGTTTTTGTATTTTTTTTGTTTTGTTTACAAATGAAGTGCCTGTGAGAAAGTCCTCAGACGAGGGACTCCATGCTCTCTGCGGGGTCCAACTCGTCGGCCATCACCATCGCCCCGTTAGTGTCCATGTGAACGGGACTCAGGCTGCCCTCTGTGTGACTCACCAGGCTGAGCATGGCTTTGTAAAGGTACTGGTACTGCTCCTGTGCACACAAACACACACACACAAAGTTTCAACGACAATAAGCAGCTTTTTATTCCCATTTTTAACTGAGCGAGACTGAATCCGTGTGTGGATGAATGCAAATGTGATGAAGAGAACTATTTATTTGTCATGAGTTAAACTGGACTTTTTCCTCTGAAACTTAGTGTCTGAACTCACTGAGGTGACGCCCCCCAATCAGTCTACAACCCCTCCCCGTTGTAACCTCAATTTTTGCTCTCCTGGCTCTTGGATCCCTGGGGTGTGATCTCTCTCTTCCTCATCGATTGCTGTGGAGGAGAGCAGCAGAGGTCTTGGACTGAGACCCCTGGACCAGACTCCTGCTTGGATCACTAAGTGGTCTGCGGGGACAGACTCCTATTAAGCTGCTGAGCTTAAACTGCTGGCATCTAGCTGGTGAACAGCAGGCAGGAGGGAYGCTCCAGAACATCTCTTCTCGTGCCGCTCAAGGTTCAAGTTTTCAGTTTCCACGTCCTTGAATTTCAAACATGCTCACAACAACATGGCTGCAACACATTTCCTCTGATTTGTCACAGGGTGAGAATGTTTCTTTGAGGCTTCATTTTCAGTCCGTTTGTGTGCCTCTCGTTAATGTGCCATACAGGGAGCCACTGGCAGCAGCTTTAACATTTCTTTTAATCTAGGTTGTCTTTACACTTCCTGTACAGTTGAAACTTCAAATAAAAACAGTTTTCTGACCACTTGGGGGCAGCATAACAAGGTATAAAAATTACTTGAAGGCTTAACCTTATTTATGAAGAAAACAAAGAAAACATTATTAAAGGGATCCATGATTAGTTGTAACATTAGACTATTTCATAAACATATATTTTAACTGTAAAATAAAGACTGTAAAAATACTGTAGGATGTTCAGATTTTATCATTTTTAAACTAAAAGTTTAAAAATATATTACACGGAGGGGTAATTTTATTTACACGCAAAGCATTCTGGGTAAATGATGATGTGCATAGGTCCTTGGTGCGAGGCTGCTAGCGAGCTATATCCACCCTGAAGGTTAATCTTGGACAATATCCAATGATTGACTCTTAAATGAAACCAGAGAGCGTTGACAGAGAGGAGAAGGTAGAAATGACTCAGCCTGTAACTGAAAATATGGATGGAGGACAACAGAGCTGCTTCATGGAAGAAGAACCTCAGCTTAGCCTGTTAGCTTTAGCGTTAGCCCCGATGCTATCACTATATATATGCATTAGCTCAGCGCTACTTATTCTCCTCTCGTCGCTAAGGTCCTCCATCCACATGACAGAGAGGGGAATACAAAAATGACTCAAGGGCTCGACACACGGGCAGCGACAAACTACAGCGATTAGCGGCTGTCATCGCAGCCAGGGTGAAACCCGACACACGGGACGAGATAGCGATCGCAGCATTGCGAATCGCGCTCTCAGATCGCTTGTCTTCACGAAATTTGATTGGTTCTTGACTCTGAAGGCGGGTGTGCATTACGGACATGAAACTAAACAAATCTTGCGATGCTAATGATATTGAAAAACAAACACACATCAAGATACAGTTTTATGAGGAAAAACTTACCATAAACTTCACCCTGGTGCCAACAAATTCCCACAAAGCTTTTTAGTAATCACTTGGTGAAAGTGTTAGCTAACTGCAGTGTGTAGCATACTCTCCTCTCATTGGTCAGTCAATGAAACCCTCGCTGATTGGTTGTACGCTAAGCGACAGCGACAAAAGTTGAACATTTTTCAACTTTCATACGTCGTGTCACAAGCTCGCGTGTGCACGTGTATGTGTACGAGCGCGAAATTTCACATGCACTATTTTCGCCGGTCGCTTAGCTGGAGGAGGGCAAGCGATTGTCGCCTCACCGCACAGGCTCCATAGGAAATGAATGGAGAGCGAGAGACGTCGCCTCCCGTGTGTCGAACCCTTCAGCCTGCAACTGAAAATATGGATGGAGGACCTCAGTTTAGCTTGTTTGTTGCACTAGCGTCGAGCTAATACATATAAGGCAATATAGCGTCAGTGCTAGTGCAAAGACTAACAGGCTAAGCTGAGGTTCTTCTTCCATGAAGCAGCTCTGTTGTCCTCCATCCATATTTTCAGTTACAGGCTGAGTCATTTCTACCTTCTCCTCTCTGTCAACGCTCTCTGGTTTCATTTAAAAGAGTCRATCATCAGATATTGTCCAAGATTAACCTTCAGGGTGGATATAGCTCGCTCACACGGAGGACCTAGCCATGTCATCATTTACCCAGAATGCTTTGCGTGTAAATAAAATGCTCCGTCCGTGTTAAAATACATTTTTAAAATTTACAAAACTAAACAGCCTACAGTATTTTTACAGTCWTTATTTTACAGTTAAAACAAATGTTTACCAAATAAAGTCTAATGTTACAACTAATCAGGGATCCCTTTAAAGAGTGCTGCTTTAAACAAAATGCATCAYCGTCTTCTTCTTCTCTTCACGTCGGTGGAAACTTACGATATCAGTGAAGACTCCCGGCCTCATGAGATTGATCATCTTGGCCACCTGATAGATGTCGACGAGCCCCTCGTTGTCTAGCTGCTGGGACAGCGTGGTGAGGGCGCAGAGCATCCCCGCTGACACCGCTCCGTACCTGACACAGGTTCAACAAGAACACGTTTTCAGGACGAGGAGAGCAAAGCTGGTTTTAAAAACCCTGTTTCTGTCAGAACTAACGTTGTCGCTCCTGATTTTACTCTGTGAAAAACCTCCAGAAAAATGTGACTTCAGTCAGGCTGCGTTGGATATTTGACGTAACAGCAGCTGAGGTGCCGCTGCTGCTGATGCGTTCAGAAAAATAAAAAAACTTAAAAAAAAAAATAAAACATCAGCTGGGAGTCTGGAAGCTGTCGTGGTTGCCTGGTTACCAAAAGACCTTTTTGTTGATTCTGGCGGCGGCCCGCAGACTCTCTGAGCCGACACACACTTAAGGACTTTAAAACCCCAAGCCAGGGAAAGCACTCAGAATTTAGTGGCTTACTTTTTCATCCTACTTGTGCAAACAGAACAACTGAGGGAAGGTAATTACACACTGCAGAACACGTTTAAACACTTCTACCTTTTAAAATCCAGACCAAAGGTATAAAAACAAAACAGCACCGAAGATCAAACATAATTTTATTACCTGAACTCTTTAAACTCAGAACAGTGGATGTATATTTTAACATAAACTACAGTAGTTATCGTCTTTTTGTTCGGCTATCAACTACTTGCATTATTGAGCCTAGAATGTTTTAAACTTTAGTTAGCCTGAGTAAAAAATAAAAATAAAAAATGGATATAGCTTATCAGTTATTTTGATGTTAGTCAAAAATTTTGTTGTGGAATGAGCTTCCCAACCCTTATTCTGTTCTAACAAACTGCACAAGACCTTTGCTCAAAACGTAGCTTTTAACTATTTAGAGTCAGCGCTATTTTAATGAAACCTTCAGAAAATAATCCTTGGATGAGCGTCTGCAACTGATAAAATTTCAGAGCCAACCTCATTCAAGATGGCCGCCACAACCAACTGTCTTTAGAAAACACAAAACTGGATATAACTCTGTGAATTTTGCAGATACTGAGCTAAAATTGAACSTGGTAGTAGCTGAGACTCATTCACGACACATAATCTAAGTGTGGCATGTTGCGATATCACATGAGGTAGAGCACAACATTTTTTTCTTTCCAAGGTTTGAGCAAAATGACTACAGCTCTGTCCTTTCTTAGTATAAGATGACCTTAATTTAGCAATATGGATTGTTTCACAGAATGTTMGATCTTAAAGTTAATAACGTGTATATTAGTAACACGTTAACTCTCAGTCTTTATGAAACACATTAAGTTTTATTTTATCATATTAAATAATGTTTATTAACAGCAGCACACTTGTACAAATATGTCCCTTATTTATTATTTTAGGAAGAAGCAAACCAACAATAAAAACTGATCAATAAGAGTGAGGAGATAAATGTTTCTCAGGGTTAATGAGGCGTTTACACCTCAGAGGAGAGAAGAAACTGATCTCTATGGCTGCCGATTAAGAATTAGTTTTATATATATATATATAAACATATACATACACATGATAAATCCATCAAAGTTGGAAACGTTTTAAACAAAACTCCTGATAAAGTTACTGTTCAAGGTGTCAACATGTTACCAGGTTGAAGAGACAAAAATATGAAGGATGAACTCCTCAGCAAGGATTTTTATCAAAGAAAAAGTCTGAAAGAACAACTTTGTTTGGACGGGAGTAAATCTTCTGATGCAGCAGCTTTAAGCTTCATGCTGACTCTTTSTTTTCAAGGTGCAGCATTTCACTTAGCTAAAGTAGTTTGGTGGTAAAAATGACTTTACTGAGTGGAAAACTTCACAGCACTAAATTTCTACAAATGATTTATTTTTACTCAATGTCAGTTCAGAAAAGTAAAAAAAAAAAAACGTGTTATAGAAAGATAATTTTTTAAAGCACTTAAACGATTGTTCTATTGCATCAGAATAAACCACAAGAAGCACTAATAATGAGATTATTTTTGTGCTGCTGCTTTATACGGCTTATAATAAGCAAAGCCTGTTAAGATCTTATTTAATAAACCGCTCATCGTTAATAAGGGGTAATTAGGAAGTTGAGATAAAACTCAGTTACTCTTCTCTTAGTTATAGAAAGGGTCATTCTGACTCATTAAAAAGAGCTTTAGAAAAACAAGTTAATTAAGCGTCTGGTTCATGGATAATTTCTGTTCTGTGATCTAAAGTTTTACTAAATTTGTTTGCATCCATCGCTCCTCTTATGTTGACGGTGAGAAAACAAAAGCAAAAAAAAAAAAAAAGCCACTGATGAAGAAATTAAGAAACTAATATGCAGTTCTGCTTTATGCTGAAGTGGCAAAATTAAATAAAATAAATAAATAAATAAATAAATAAATAACAAGAATTAGGGAAAAAATAAAATAAATTAAAAATACACAAAAAAAAGTACGCTAATTTCAGTGTTTACATTTTTCCCAAACTTGCATTAACTATACTGTTTAGGTGAATATGCTCTTTTCTTTTGTTTTAAAAGTGTAAAACTAATAATACATTTTAATTTTCAGTAAATATTTTTAGCTTTATAAAGTCAGCCCCGCTGATCAGAAAAGCCCTCCTTCAATCAACTTGACGCGGCCCACAAGTGACTAACTGCAGCACGTTTCGTGGCTCTGGACACATTTGTTTTGTGAGCCGCGGGGCAGAAATGGTTGTTTTGACTGTAAAGGTTGCAGATCTCTGGTTCAGAGGGTCGCAGAGCTTATTATGAGCTATTGATATTTTTCAAACAGCTGAAACTTTTTGGTTAAACCTGTTGAACTGTACTTCAAATCTATCAGCTGATTTTGTCTGACACTCTGGGGCATGTCTCGTTACTCCTTTTTTATGGCCCGCGGCTAAAAAAGTGAGCTTGTGCTCATTTTCCTGCACTGTTAGTGAAATATCTAATAAATTACTGAATAATCAAAAAAAAAAAGAAAAGAGAAAACATAAGCAAACATAAACATACTCATCGTGCACGATGGTGGGGCCGTCTCGAGTCATGGCTTCCTCTTTGATGACCCTGATGAGCTCGAAGGTGCTGCTCAGGGGAGCGTCGGGGTTCGGCCACTTAGGGCACTGAAAGTGTCTCACCTCCAGGACGTAGTCGTCCTGAGGAAACACAAAGGGGAGCGTTAACACCTCGTGGAAATCTGTTTCCCTGAAAAGAACGTTTCCTGGGGGRGTACCTGTGTGGCCTCTAGGATGAAGTCGTGGATGATGATCTGCTCCTCGTTGGAGAGACACAGCCGGTCCTTACTGATGAGAGTGACGGTGAAGGCGATGCAGTTCATGGCCTCTTCTCGACTCGGCCAGTAAACAAATTCGTCCTCGGCCTGCGGTGGGACACGCGACATCTAGTATTTATGCACGATTGGCGTTCCTTTGAATCGATAAAGCCTGCGTTGGTACTTACGAGACCCTGGTTGTCTGGCAACATGACAATAATCTGCGCGTTGTGGTCCCAAATCATCCTCCAGAAGTCTGTGGTGGTGTGGGGCAAGGGATGCTGGGTGATGATGAACTCGTTACTCCTGTAGTAGCCCTGGCATGACAGAGTTGAGCTGTTAGCCTTTCTAAATGATGACTGCTCGCGCGAATCATTCTCCCACTTGTCGTTTTCAAAGGCTCAATGGCCGCAGATAAGCAAACGTGACTCATTAATAATCAACACTGTACCATTATGTAGGATGCATTAATGTAATCTGTTCCCTTCATGCCTGGCAGAGTGGTGAGTCCGACCCTCGCTCGCTCCGCTGGTGAGGCACAGATAAAAAAACAAAACACAAGCTTTAAATCACAACCCGTGCCTCCTGTATATCACACCGTCTGATAACGCACACATTCATTATCAGTCCTCGCTGTTGCTATAGCAACAAGTACCTCCTCTTCTCCCGTCASGGTGCCGAGGACGCACAGGAAGATTAACTTATAGGATTATGGAAATGGATTCTAAATTTAGAATATGGATTGTTTTAATTATGTGCAGAGTTGTAAAGTAACTAAGTACTAATACTTTGTTACTGTACTTAAGTAGAAATTTTGGTTATCTCTGCTTTACTTGAGTAATTATTTTTCAGCCCACTTTTTACTTCTACTTCTAACATTTTTACACAATCATCTGTACTTTCTACTCCTTAATTTTTAAAAAAGGTAAGAAGTAGAAAGTTGTTTCTCCCATTTCATTTCAGCTTGTTATTATTAAAAATATTCTACCGTGAAAAATTTTGGCTCCTGGATTGAATTGAATTGTGATTGGAYGAGAAGTATAAATATATGCCATTCTGACACTGTATTTAGTTTGTACATAATCCATCAAGCTGCATACCTTTACAAAAAATATGTTTTGAAGATGTCACCTCCCCAATAAATTTATTTTGGAAAATCTAACTGTTCATTTTTACTC